TATTATTATTATTAGTGTTGAATCTGTCTACCTTGTCTGAAAAAAGAAAGAGGCAAAAACAGGGAAACAAAGGTTTCTCAAGCTCATGCAGCTGCTTCCCAGAAAATCTGTAATACTACATAGTGCAAGGACCACTAAATACGTTAAACTAACTTTAGATAAGTTTGTCATATTTGAAAATAATCAGCATCCTGATAATCATCCATAATAGAGATGGGCCTGAACCACAGGTTCTGGGGTTCATGCTGGTTCATTTGTCATCCGAGCAGGTATTTGGTGTTTCTGAGCCCCCCACCTCTTCTGGCAGGCGCCCACTCAAAGGCAGTGCCTGGGGGAGGCGGGACAGGGAAGCCAGAGTGCTGCCTCTCAGTGGGCACCTGCCAGAAGAGGTGGGGGGCTCAGAAGCGCCAAACACCTGTTCAGTTGATAAATGAACTGGCATGAATCTCCGAACCAGAGGTTTGTGCCCATCTCCAATCCACAACTTAGGGCAGAAACAGACATTATAGACAGACTGTGAGTAGGAGAAAAAGGTCTGAAAGAACTGATTATGTGTCCCTGTCACAGAAAGAGCTTCTCTGAACTTCTAGAATTTGAGCATAGCTTGCTTCATTTGATGACTGATCTTAAGTATGGTATTTCTCTAAAGTCTGACTACTAATACACAAAAATCTGTCTCCATCACATGCTCTGACATGTTATTTGCCATGCTTGTTTGTGCCCTAGGGTGCTGTGAATGTTTCAGATGTGCATATGGGACAGTTTTAGGTACAGGCATTCCTCCCCTGATGTTCAGTGGACTAGGAAAGTGGAAAGTATTTGAGTTTTTGGTCCAACTCCCTGGAACTGTTTGGTACTTGACCAAACAGTTCCAGGAAGATTTAGGAGGAAATATAGAAGTTGTTATCTAGAAGGCACTTTCCCTATTCTCTCCCCTTGCTACTTCTTATATTTGATTTGCGTACATTTTTATACTGCTAAAAACTGCTGGGAGAAGGTAGTGTAATGGAAGAGTGGGTGGTTAATGCAACCTTTCCCACCACATTACAATGAATAGAAACCTTAAATGGGTAGGTGGGTGAAGGAAGGGAGCCTTTGCATGGAAGGGAACTTTGCCCGTCTAATTTGCAAGACATGGCTGGATCTGAGTCATTATGTGACAGCGTATCTGACTGGAAATCAATGGGAGTTAGAATATAGTTCCACAGAGTAAAATCCCTTGTATGCCTCTGCATATAGATCTATCCTGTATCTCTTCTACAACTTTCCCTGGAGACTTTTGAGATCCCCCAGAGAAGTTTTGCTGCACAGGAGAGGGTGAGGACATCCTGTTATACCAGCAGTGGTTGACTTGCATGTCATGTCAGCTCAGCTGAATTCTGTGGGGTGTACAATTATATTATGCATGTGTGGGACTGCAGCCCTAGCTGACTTTGTATTTCTGCCATGTTTCCAGCCTCAAGCAGTTATCAGATAGATAACTCTTGCGATGATATCTCTTGCAATGTTTCTCTTCCCTTCTGCCTCAGAGGCTCAGATGAAAGGTCTCTGATTAGTTTACTTGAATGTTTTTTTTTTAAAAGAGCTGTGGGAAAATCTGGGTTTGATTGCAGCATGTTTAATCTTAAACCACAGTGTTCCACCCACTCCCTGACCTAAAATATGCGAAAGCTCTCACTCATTCTCCTCTCTCTCTTTTGCTCTCACATAGATCCATGATGCTAATGCTACTGAGGAAGAGCATGGCCATTGTCCTGCTATCTCAATTGTCCCATCTCACTGTACCCTTCACATTAAAGTTTTTAACAGCTGTGAAGGTGTCTGGGATTTTGATCCAGGATGTGGTCCAGGGATTTCCAATGTCTGATAAGCCCAGCTGTTGCCTTGAATTATTACTCAAGCCACATTCATGTGTGGACAGCTCATGGATCAGGACAGGGGACCACCCCATTGCCCACTCATGAGCTGCTGCTGCTGAAATGATGGCAAATCCAAGCAGAGCTCAAAAACATTCCTGTTTTGGACTACAATCTCCAGGATGTCCTTTCCATTTTTACCAATGGGCCTGCAGGCTGAAAGACTCTGAGAGTTTTAGTCCAGAAAGCTTCCTTTCCATGATCAGAGGAATGAGAATGTGGACTCCAGTTTGGGCAGGGGTTTAGACTAGATAACCATTGGGAAGCCGTTCAGCTCTACAGTTCTACGATTCTGTGGGCTCTGACTCCTGAACATTCTAGTGTAGAAAAAGATTTAGGAAATCGGGAGAGTGGTTGTTGTGGGTTTTTTGGGCTTCTTGGCCATGTTCTGAAAGTGGTTCTTCCTAACGTTTCACCAGTCTCTGTGGCCGGCATCTTCAGAGGACAGCAAACTGTGCTGTCGGGAGAGTCCTTGGAAGAAGAAGGTTTTCATATGTACAGACAGACTCATGAAGGACCACTTACTATCCCATGAACCTGCCTGCTTTTTTGTGTGTGTGACAGAGGCTCTTCTTCAGACTCTGTGATCTTCAGAAATTAGGTGAATGAGGACTGGGGAAAAAAAGAGCCTTTCTGGTTGTGTTGCCCCACTTATCCAATAGTGTCACAGTAAGCTGGAAGTGTGGGAGGTTTTGTATTATTTATATGCAAGAGAACTAATACTGGGTATATAGACTATTAAAAAAAACACACAATAAGGTCTCTTGGTGTGTGTGACTACAGCCCTGCTTGTTGTTATTTGAGAGCAAATGGAAATTTCTTCTGGCTCCATCGGTTCAACTTGTAAAATACACTGAAGTTCAAGAATAGTTCTGTATCCTACTAAAATGCAACCTTCAGCTTTGAGTTAAAAATGCAGATAATTTTGCATGGAAAGTTGCCATTTAAGCTCCCAACATTAAGTAAGAACTCCATTAAAATGAATGGAAATATACAGTATCTTCTGATACCTCATAAAGAAAAACTTGAAAGTCTCATTATCACTTTACATCCTTGTCAAAACAAGCAGTGTCTATCAATTGCTCTAGCCAATGATGTAACTGCTCTTGTTCCAGAAAAAAAAGCCAAAAGTTGTATTCCCTTACCTCCACCCCCTTTTTAATCCATTGTGAACCACTCTCCTTACATAGAAAGATTTGCTTATCACCTACTGGGAGCCTAAAATAGACCTATTTATTTTTCCGGTTTTGGCTTTTCTTTTAAATCTACCCTTATTAGGCTTTTTATTTCGGTTGGGTGCATTTTATGACTGGCCTAGATTTAGTGGCATTGTTCCACTGATTGAAATACTTCCATCAGCATAAGATAGGGCAATTCCACCTCCCCCAGTTCTTACAGACTCTCAGAACCTTCTAGGGCATCCTCCACAGGAGGGTGTGTTGGGTAGCATGGTGGTCTGCAACAGGGCTGAGGAAGTTCATCAAAGTACCAGGACCGAAACAGGTAAGTGGTTTTGGAAAGTCTCCCACTAATGATTCCTAGGAAGAGAATTATGCCCAAAACCTTGAACTACCAAGCAGAGTGGACTATATTGGGCTGGCTGGATTGATTCAAGAGTCTTGCTTGGTATTAAGGAAGCATTAATCAGTCTTGTCACATTAGTGGTTGGCTGCTAGCACCATGTTGAATTTAAACCTGTGTTATTATATTAATGTGTTAACTGAAGAAATGTTTTGTCAGTTATTCCGAAAATTGAATCATTGAAACATGACCAAAAAAAAATCACCGAAATGACCTTTAATAGACTAATAAGACCATCTCTATCACCAGTGTGTGTTGTGTGTGGTAAATGTTGTCAAGTCAGTTTTGATCCCAACAGGCGTTTCAAGGTAAATAAGATACTTAAGGAGTGGTTTTATCAGTGCCAGGCCCTGGTGAGTTTTCCTGGAAGAGCAGGAATTTGAACCCAGGGCTCCTAAATCCTAGTCTGTCATTCTGCCCATCCCATTATACGATATATCATCACCAGTGGCAATGCAGCATATTTCTGGACTGAGAGAAATTTTATGCAGAGCAGTACAAATAGGGCATGTATTTTTTTTTCTGTTTTCAATTTGGTGCTTCTCATCCTTAACAGAATGACAGCTGCGTCTTTTTAAACACTGAAGCCACTTTAAAACAGACCCTTCATCGTAATCACATGGCTAAAAGTATAATTGATACTAAAACTGCTGATGAAAAGATGGAGCATAACTTATGGCCTCAACTAACAAAAGCCCATCTGGTAACTGTTCTTTCCCTATCATTTTTTTAAATAAAATGATTAATTTTTTTTTCAAAGGGACTTTGACTGTTGGAGATTCTGTAGCTTGTGGTGCTATTTCTGTTCCTATTCATGTTTCCTCTCTTTTCATGTCATTCAGGTTATTTGTGGAAATGCCTTATAAAAACTGGTATTATAAATAAAGCATTAAATTGCAGTTTGTTTTACACTTCCCCTTAGTCTAAAAGAGTTATTCTGAACAAATTATTTTCAATCCAGAGTGAGGCTGTGTCCTTTGCCACCAAACCCTTGGCTGCTATTAAATGCAGGTCCTCTTTTTTTAAGTATTACCAATAGTTAGTGGCCGCTAACATGCAACTGAGCAATGGTTTTTCTTCTGTGACGATATTTATGGATCCTAAAATAGCTAGCATGGAAGAATAGAATGGAATAAAATAGCCGTGATTTTCCCATCCAATCTAAAGATGGTTAAAATACATACATGCTTATTCTGCAAAAATCGTTCCATCTGAGAAAATATACTCCTAACAACCTTACTGAGACCAAATATGGCAGGAAATGGAAGAACGCAAGGCTCCTTTGAAAGGTGATTCCTATCCCATCGAAGAAATTGTTACATTGGCACAGTCTGTTTCTTCCCATGAATTCTAGAAATCAGGAATTATCTCTGAGGTTGGCACACAAAACCACCACAGCATCCATCCAACCTGGTCTGACATTCCTGCAACTACAGCTGGTCCAGTTGTTTGGGAGGAAAGATCCTGTGCCCTTTCTACATTTTCTCTGCACTCCTGAATGCAAAACAGTTCCTTTTGAGACCACTAGGCACATTAAGACTTTGTTAAAGGATGAAACATCCTTGGCAGAAGAAGCAAAGTAATGTACATATACTATTCAGACTTGATTAAACATTAGAAAGAATCTCCTTTGCTCCTCCCTTTCTCTCTTCCTGCTTTGTTTGTCTTAGAACAAATATTTAACAGTGCAACAAAAATTCTGGGAAGATGGTGTCCTCTCCTTCATTGGAGACTTTTAAACACAGGTTGGATAATCACCTCTCTGGGAAAAATCCAGTCCGCTTGGATTTTTCTAAATTAGAAAAGGATCGGGCTAGAAAACCTTTACAATCCCTTTCACCTCGCCTTTCCTGTGATTCTTAGCCACTGGATAGAAATCTCTAAAGCTTCAGGGCATAATCTAGAGGGTGCTTATCAGAGCAAGAGTGGTAATCTTATAAATTTGCTTTTAGATTTCAATGAGACTACACTAAAGTAATCTGAACACAACATATAGCAGATTGTTGATTGGGTGCAGCCCTGATTGACTGCAGCGGCTCTTCGATAGAAACAGAGCTTGGAGGATTACATAGCTCAACCATGCTCAGGAAACATATTATGTTCCATGCTGAATCCTGTCTGAGTAAGTCCCAGATATGTCAGCATCTTCAATTTCCCTGCTAAACAGATGCTGCTCAAAAGCTTCTCTTTTGAAGATGATGTGAAAGGACTGATTGGATTGTACATGAATAAACATTATTGCTAGTTTGTGCCTTTTCTCTGTCTTTCCTGATTGGTTTGGATAAATAGTATGTAGAATAGATTTTAAAAAAATTAGTTCCAAGTTAAATTAGTTTCTTCCTTCCTTCCTTCCACCCACCCACCCATCCACCTACCACTCTCTGGGGCACTGCATTGACTTACCCAGACTGTTCGACAACTTCTGTCTAAATCCAATATGGAGGGCATGGCATTAAGCTGCTCCCTCCTGTGCCATAAGTCTATTCCAGAGGGTTTCAGAGTGTCTGAGACACATAGGAGGCTCCAGGATGAAGTGGAGCCAGGAATTATCTCACTGCTTGGTTGCACCCACAGAAGCAGGTGCACTGACAACATCGGATACACTCAGTCCTTCCTGCCTGTTTTGTTTTTCCAAGAAGGAATATTTCAGACAACTGTTATCTCTTTATGTTTATGGTCCACTGTAGATAATTTTCTACCTTTTTGCCCTCTAAAATGCTTCTTTGCTTAAAGGAGGTGTGTGTGTTTGTGTGTCTGTGTGTGTCTGTGTCTGTCTGTGTCTGTGTCTCTCTCTGTGTGTTTTGGGGTGAACCACTGGCCCTTTGAATGGTGGCCTCTAGCTCCCATTACACTCACCCAGCACAGAAAGGGTAAGAGTTTGAGTAAATGGTGGCCCCAAGCATGTGGAGGACCTAAGGTTTTCCACTGAAGTTGTAAAGAACTTTCTATTGTGTCACACCTCTAGCATTCCCCCAAAGATCTTTTGAAATGCCAAAGAATGGTTCTGGAATGAGTACTGTACTTGCAAAGCATCCTCTCAGTCACTCATTGATGCCCCTCCCTAACATGTGTCTACAATGTGGTTCTGCATGCAGTTAATCTGTTCGAATATCAGATATATTTAAAATGAACTGTTTCAAATCTATTTGCATTTTACGCAGGTCCACGGGATTCGAAGTAAGGTTATTTTGTTTTCCATCTTGCTACCTATGGAACACGAGGCAACAGCTGTCTCTCTAACATTCATCTCATTGCCCAAGGGGTATATCTTTATGCTCCCATGGTAACCAGCTGCCATCTTTGCCCCTCTCACCCCTGGGAGATCTGAATATAGTTGAGAAACCTACCAGGAGCAGCTGCAGCAACAGCACCAACAGAAGCAGCAGGCATTGGGACTTCGATTCCCTACCCCAGGCTGTGCTGGAACAGAGCCTGGCGTCTCCTGGGATGCAAGTGTTTGCCTCTTGCGCACCTCCATCCGCTCAGATCCCATTGGCTGCAAGTCGGAAAAGCAGAAAGGAGATTTAACTCTGTGGGAGAAGCCCCTTACTTACCAGGTTCCTGTAAAATGTTGTGCTTCGTTCACTATACTGCCAGCAAGTGGTTTTTCTAACTGTTGTGAATAGGTGATTGTGGCCAGCTGAGCAGCCAACAATATTTTGCTAATTGGATAAGAAATCCACAGGCATTCATACCAAAAAACACCTACTGGTTCTTAGATGCAAAGTACCTCACAAATATTCAATGTCTTCAAAATGTACTACATTGAAAGTTTCAAAAGGGCAGGGGAAAGAGAATATATGCCCAACATACTTTCCTCAACATGGCCCAGGCCACAAAAGTTAATTTTCCAAGCCCTAAAATATGGAGCAAGGAGAGAGAAAGTTTCTGGCTGGTTGGAGAACAGATATTGGGCCAAGATTCAGAAAGAAACATCTGTATTATTATCCTTGCCATAGAAAGTTGCCAAGTCATATCAAAACATACAACTGGTCCCCTTAGACCGGGGTGGACAAAGTGCCACCTGGGGACTGCATAAAGCTCTTCAGTTCTTCCTGTGGCCATATCTTCTTCTGGCAGCAAAAGCAACCTGCAGGTCCTGCAGGTCTCCAGGTGTGACATCATCTTTTAAACAGGCCACAGACACACACACCCCAAATAGCATTCCAGATGATCTTTGGGTGGTGACAGAACTCTGAAGGCCTGGGGACCAATTTTCTGGGGACAAGGTTACTCCAATGCTCTCCTTTGTCCATTTCTGATCTATTCCTCCAAGATGAAATTAGGCCAAGAAGCGCACCTTCCCAAATCATGGTTTAGGGTGTCTGGCAAAGATTTTCTTCCATCACCTGTTACCAGTGCAACAACCACTATGACTAGTGAGTGTGTGGCAGGGACTAGAGTTTTGGATTAAGGCTTGGTCAACTTGGTTTCAAATCATCATGTCACAAAACCCACTGGCTTCCACTGGAACAGCCCCAACATCTCAGACTGTTCTACCTCATAAGACTGTTGTGAGGATAAGGTGGTGACAAGTAGAGTCATATACATTGCCTTGAGATCACTATAGCCAAGGTAAGACAGAAATACAATAAATCAATAAGTAAATAGTATGACTTCCACTTTCAAAGCAAGTGCCTGACCACTGAGATGTACCCCCTTGCAATATAACAATTAAAGCAAGATTTAAAAGGAGGGAAACCTGGGGCTGGCTATGCTCTGAAATGACTTGAGAACTTATTTCTCATTCTCTGAAACCTGACAGTTTATCAAGGTTATCTGTATGCAACTGGAAAATGATCTGTCCATGAGAGATGCATCAATACTACTGTTGCCCTTGCTCACAATGTGCAGTGGAGGGAGGGGAGGGGAGGGGAGGGGAGGGATAAAGCAGTTGCATCAGAAAGACAGGATTAGAGGGGTAGGACAGAAAATGTGACACAGTTTGCTAGAAAAAGGTGAATGTATGTCCCACAATACTAGAGACAGAAGAAGCAACCAAAAGGGTATATTTAATCAGCACATGAGATCTAAAGGTTACATATAATGGAAACACATCTGTTCCCTTTATGTGGGAATTCCCATCTTTTGAGTGCCTTCATACTACTTTGTGCCCCATCACACAATGATTTATTGTCCTTCTTCATAGTCCTGCTGAACAAATAACCCAAATACTTGATCATCTCATAGTGCAGGACATGTAATAATGGGTTCAAGCTATGATAAGCCAGATTTAGACTGAATATCAGGATGAACTTTTTTAATTGTTAAAGCAATACAACAATGGAAACAATTACTCCATGAGGTGGGAAATGCTCCAATGCTGGAGACATTCAAGAAGAAATTGGGCAACCACCTGTCAGATCTGCTTTAACTTGGATTCCTGCATTGAGCAGGGGGTTGAACTTGATGGCCTTATAGGCCCCCTTCAACTCAAATGTCCTGTGATTTTATGATTCTACTCCCTTAAAAGCAACAATATTTTAGAGTGCTAAAGACCTAGTGAGTTCTCTATGACATGCACTACTAAATCCCTTACAACGTCACTGCAGGGGCCATTGTTAGATCACACTCTGGCCAGAATCCTATCGATGTCCATGCAAGCTTTGCCTAATTTACTGTGGCTAATTGGAGAGTGTGTCTCACTCAAATGACTGGCCAAACACTTAACTGCAAAACTAAGATGCACCCCAGCATCTTGTCAGAAAGTAGCATGTGCTGGTTGTAAGAAGTGATTTATACCTCAGTGTTATGTAGAAATGGAAAGAGAGAAACAGAGAGGACATGCTTTCCTTCTTACACAGCCATTTGGACAATATTGGCACAATATTAGTATTACATCTGTTTCACCTAGAGTACTGTACTTGCAAATATGTGGGGGGGGGTGTTGGTTTTTTAAAAAACACATTTTCACCTTGCTTCCTTCATTGAGAAAAGGACAAGACCCCATCACACAAAGATTTATTGTCCTTCTTCATAGTCCTGCTGAACAAATAACCCAAATACTTGATCATCTCATAGTGCAGGACATGTAATAATGGGTTCAAGCTATGATAAGCCAGATTTAGACTGAATATCAGGATGAACTTTTTTAATTGTTATGTTAATTGTTAAAGCAAAACAATTACTCCATGAGGTGGGAAATGCTCCAATGCTGGAGACATTCAAGGAGAAATTGGGCAACCACCTGTCAGATCTGCTTTAACTTGGATTCCTGCATTGAGCAGGGGGTTGAACTTGATGGCCTTATAGGCCCCCTTCAACTCAATTATCTTGTGATTTTATGATTCTACTCCGTTAAAAGCAACAACATTTTAGAGTGCTAAAGACCTAGTGAGTTCTCTATGACATGCACTACTCAATCCCTTACAACGTCACTGCAGGGGCCATTGTTAGATCACACTCTGGCCAGAATCCTATCGATGTCCATGCAAGCTTTGCCTAATTTACTGTGGCTAATTGGAGAGTGTGTCTCACTCAAGTGACTGGTCAAACACTTAACTGCACAACTAAGATGCACCCCAGCATCTTGTCAGAAAGTAGCATGTGCTGGTTGTAAGAAGTGATTTATACCTCAGTGTTATGTAGAAATGGAAAGAGAGAAACAGAGAGGACATGCTTTCCTTCTTACACAGCCATTTGGACAATATTGGCACAATATTAGTATTACATCTGTTTCACCTAGAGTACTGTACTTGCAAATATGTGGGGGGGGGTGTTGGTTTTTTAAAAAACACATTTTCACCTTGCTTCCTTCATTGAGAAAAGGACAAGATAGCTGCATAGTACTTTCTGGCTGTTAGCATGAGAAGTCCTTCTGAGCTAATGTGGTGTAGTGGATAACATGAAGTGTGGAAACCTAGGTTCTAATTCTGCTAAGCCAGACAGCTCCTAAATTACCTGTGTCTTTCAATATACCTTACAGCAGACCCGGGCAAAGTACGGCCCAAAGGCCACATATGGCCCGCGAGCCACTCCTGTCCGGCCCGCGGACAGTTTTGAACATCAAAACCATTTATAGCTTTTTGTCTAAAGTTGATCAGTTGCTTATCTTTAACGTACTGCAAAAATACTCTTCAGTATTTGCGAAGATTAACACGTTTAAAATAAAAACAGTCGTAACATCACTGTTTAATTTTATTTTTAAGTAAAGTTGGTTCAGCCCCCAAACACAATTCAGATTTTTCATGTGGCCGCCCTATAGAAATTAATTGCCCACCCCTGCCTTATAGAGTTGTTGTATGTAATCTGCAGCCAAGGGGGGAGGGTGGGGGAATCCTGAGAAATGAAGGGAAGGAAAAGTGCTAGAGATTCTGCTAAGAGATCCTTGGCCTCTCTCATAAAAAACACATTTGTATAGACTACTATTGACCAAGCAAATATTAATTTTGAAAACAACCTGAAATTAGAAGTGCAAACAAAAAGAAAATTGATTGGATAACAAAAGAGACCCAGAATTCCTCTGCTGGTTCCTTCTTTCTTTTCTGGAAGTCCCTTTGTTACTTTGGAGAGAAAACTGTGAATGGCGCATATGCAGTGCCAGCCAAAACTGAAAAGGACTGTGCGCGCGCTAGACTGACAAGATGATTAGCCCGGTTTTTATTTTCAGTTGTCCTTTGGCTCTTGAAGCAAGTGAGAGCTATAATAAAGCAGATGGCATATTGTTAGAGGTTGCTTTATTCCTGCTCACTTTTGTTCCTAAATTTAGCAGAAACTGATTCTGCATGCATATTCAGGGACTCAGTTTTAGGCCGGAAAGTGAAAGGAAAGTACTGTTTCTGCAGGTGCTACTATGTGAAATAGTGTTTTTTTTTTTGTTCTGGATAAGTGAAATACCTGCTGCATTGCTTCTTTGCTCTTGCAGTTTCTTTCTCTTTCTTTCTTCTTTCTTTCTTTCTTTCTTTCTTTCTTTCTTTCTTTCTTTCTTTCTTTCTTTCTTTCTTTCTTTCTTTCTTTCTTTCTTGTTTGTATGTTCCCTTACTTGTTTCAAAGGCTTTGTGCTTTTATGTTAGGGAAAAATTCAATGGAAGCTACTTTCCCCTATTTTGCATATCACAATGACAAACCAAAGCACATTCACAGGAACAAAATTTTACTGGCCATAAATGCAGTTTTTGATAACAAATTTAATTTTAAGCAGAGAATTCTGCCTGCTAATTCAGGAAAGCAGAATTATTCTA